ATGAAGATATGAGATATGGTAGAGAAGGATGTGAGAATGGCTATTTATATGATAAGAAGTGATGTAAGTTACATTTTTAAAATAATTAAATTAGAGTAGTTATAATTATAATTTATAGTGTGTTTAATTGGAATTCAATAAAGAAAACCAATAGTCTTTGGAAATTTATATAATTTTCAGTTTCATTTTAGTAGTAAAGTGTGAATTTAAAGTATGAATTAATGTATATGATTAAATGTGTTTTTTTGGTTAAAAATAAATATTATATTTTAAAAAATAAATACAAAATGGAACAATAAAGAGAGTGGAACCTTACTTTTATATATATGATTTTAAATAATTTTTTACCAATAAGGCTTATAAAATTTGTTGTATGATATATGATTAAGTCCTTTCATTTTCTTTGCCATTTGATTATAACTTATAGTGTTATTAAATTTTGTATTGAATGATTGTCATAAACATTTATTTATTTATTTTGTTGAATGATATATGATTAAGTCCTTTCATTTTCTTTGCCATTTGATTATAACTTGTAGTGTAATTAAATTTTGTATTGAATGATTGTCAAAAACATTAAAAAAAAAAAAAAATTAAAGCCTTAAATATTTTTGCACCAATAAGTAGAGAGTGAAACCTTACTTTTATATATATGATTTCTATTTTCGAGTAAGTAATTGAGTATTGCATTGGAGCAAAACAATACTCTATTTTAGAGTTACTTTATTTTAGAGAAAAAATAAAGATTTACATTAGAAATGGCAGCAATTTAATATTTTCATGTTCTTTAACATTCTCACATTTGCGGTCTGGTGCACTTGAGAGTGGATGTCTTGCATCATCCCATTTGAACCAATCAGCATGAGGCTGGCACCAAGAGAATCAATCAAAACGTTACATTTTAAATGATCTGCATAACATATTATAGTAGAAAACAGCAACACATAATGACATAAACCACATTTTTTGAATTAAATGTGAAATTATATTCAAAAGAAACGTTTTTACAACATGCATCTTAATTTTAAAAAAATGAGTGGTAAATAAAGTTTTAAGAAACTGGTAAACGATTACAAATCTATTTTTTTATGGACAGAGTCTGAAGTCACCGTTTGAAGCCATCATTATATCGTCGATCACTCATTTTCTGAATCGGTAGAAGCTAGTTTTTGAAATGTTTACCCACCCACCCAAATGACTATTGATGGCATGTGGTGCTTCCCTTTTGATCATTCTACGAATGGGCTTTACCTCCTCATTAGCGAGCTACACTTCCCCTTCATTATATTCATCATGAATCCTGCACCTAAAGCCCCACTAATTGTATCACCAAAATGCTACTAAATAACAAACTATATGTAGAAATAAACAGAAAAATGTAAGTGCAATAGCCACACAGATTGTTCTAGATCAAAACAATAAAAACAAGGTTTCTCAAACTTTTCTTTGATAAATAGAAAATCTGTTTACAATAGGTTTTTCCCTAAATGATTTTTCTAATATCTCAAAGCTCTCTTTCTAAGATATACACACAATCTTAGAAAACTTTCAAAGAAACCCTCTGCACTCTCTAAGCTCTTAACTGATGTCTATGGTTTTTAATGGTTTTTGAGCTTTGTTTCTAGGATAGTTTTATGCATTTCTCATCTTATTTAGTGTGTTTAGGTTGCATTTTTGCATTTGTTGAGTTTTATTAGGTACTTGGAGTTTTAAGGAGTTCATGGAGCACAAATGTAGTAAAAGATCGAGTTTTGGAGTCAAAATTGGATCAACCAAGGTTGAAGAACAAGAGAAGGGAAGGAAGAGAATGACAACCGACCAAGCGGTCGGTTAGGAGGTCGGTTGAGTCAAACCCGAGAGCTTCTGCCCGAGATCAACCGACGAATCAACCGATCGGTTGAGTTTCCATCACAGGACAACCGACCGTTCGCTCGGTTGAGAGGTCGGTTGCCACATACCCGAGAGCTTCTGTCCGATATCAACCGACCGATCAACCGATCGGTTGTGTCCCATCATATGACAACCGACCGTTTGATCGGTTGAGAGGTCGGTTGCCACTTACCCGAGAGCATCTGTCCAAGAGAAATCGACCGATCAACCGATCGGTTGGGTTCAGCGAGTCAACCGACCGAATGGTCGATTGGTAGGTCGGTTGAAGGTTATAAAATTGAAAAAATCCGGTTTGTCCCGGTTATCTCCGGTTTGTTTCGGTTTAATGTCATGTTTTCTATAAATACTCTAATCCCAATTGGGAAGAGGTATGCTTTTGTTTCTAGGGTTTTAAGAAAGATTAAGGTTATCTTTTAGATCTTGTATTTGAATCTTCAAGTTTTAATATAAGTACTTCCTTCTTCCCTTAATCTACTCTCTTTCTTAATGATTTCACAAAGAATAATCAATTTCTATTGTGTAATCATAATGACTAGTGAGTAATCTTTTAGAGTCTTTGAGCTATGGTAGATCTAGGTTGATTTAGTGTAGGGTTATGGAGCTTAGGGTTAGATTTATGTTTATTCTTGCTTAATGGTTGTTTAACATGCTAGAAAAACATTGATCAAGTTGTTTCTAGATCTTAGGGAATTCATGCCCGGAAGGTGTTTGATGAATTTCCCCAACCAAAAACCTTTAAGATCTTTACATTCCTAGCCTTTGAAAATTGTTGATTAGGGTGTTTAGAGGCTATTTAGACTAGTTTGAATGCTCATTAATTGATTGATTGCCATTTGACAAATGTTGATTATTGATTGATTAGTGTAGGGATTAGCATCATGAAAATGGGTTAGTCTAATTAAGAGTTCTTTGCCAAAGGATAATGCTTGTTTAAGTGATTTGCTAGCTCCATAACCTTTAACTTCATCCTCCTAGATCGATAACCTTAGCTCGAAGATTCGCTTTTCGTTATTATTTGAATTTCGTTGTTTCCCGCCTAGTTTCATTTCGAATTGTGTTAGTCTTTTGCATCTTGTTTACTTTTGTTTGATTTTGTCCTTAGTTGATTTGGATTGCCTTATTAGTAATAGTTGGAAATCAAGTAAATCTTTATAGCTTAGATTAAGTTAGCTAGTGCATTCTTAGTGAGTTAATCATTGCAAATTTGGATCGATATTTGAACCGGATAAAATCCTATATCATTAACTATCTTTTCTCTCAAGTTAAAGCTTAATGCTAGATTCTCTTCTCTTGATGTGCTGAGCTTTTCTCAAGTCTCAGCTCCCTATTTACAGAACTAGGACATCTCCATACAACAGGAAATTCTCATTCTACTTCTAAATAGGTTTTAGGATAATTTCCTTTTTTTTTATGGATTAGGAAATTATCCAACTCACTTCTTCTTTGTCTTGTGTCCATGTAAAACCGCTTTTCTTCACTTTCCTCATTTGTTGTTCTGTTTTTGCTAAGACGTCTGAACTAGTACACTCTGTTGTTCAGACTGCATCTTCAATCTCCCCCCTTTTAACCTTGTAGTTCTCAAGCACATGGTCACTTAATCTTGTAAGTAGGTATAAACATAAGTTTCCAATTTCTGGAACTGTCTTGAAAGTCTGAAACCCTAAAACGGAAGCAAATTGCACAAGTAACATTGAAACTCACCCGTAATCCAAAAAACTTCAGAAACCATACTCCCCCATAATCCTGCAATACTCACTCTTCTCCCCCTGCTTGAGACAACACAGGTTAAAAACCACATCAAACTCTCTTAGTCAATGGATGATTATGAATCAGCATATGAACAACAGCAGTGAGCTTCTGAAGAACTACAGCCGTGTCAACCAAAGCCACATATGATGCTTATGCACTATCATCCCCATCCTAAGGCACTTTATCTCAACATTCTTCTTTCCTGCTTGTGAGCACACATAAGTTAAAAACATTCTCCCATTGATATAGCTTTCTCTAGTAACCAGCAGAGAACAAACATTGGATCTGATTCAGAAAGATTTCCTTTAAATCTAAGACCATGTTGATCAATCTTCCCAATGCTCAGAATATGATCTAACTGTTTCGTGCCATTATTAAGCATTCTCAAATTTCTTTGAGTTTCTTCAAGTTGTACTCTAGCTAATGATGCTTCTTCTTCTTTCCCAACAGCATATTTTTGTGATTCTGCAACCTTAGACTCTAACTTGAGTTTCTCCCTCTTTAACACTGAATTTTCCTAAACTAATTCAAGCCATTGATCATATAACATCTTGTAATTATCATTCTTTACCATGCTACAAGCTTCTGTTGTAGGTTCTGATGTAGTGAAAAATTCTGATTTGGCTGCAGATTCTGATTCAGTTGGAAGTTCAGATGCAGTTGCAGGTTCTGAAGCAGTTGCTGGTTCTGACGCAGTTGCTGGTTCTGACGCAGTTGCTGGTTCTGACGCAGTTGCAGGTTCTGAAGCAGTTGCAGGGTTTGAAGCAGTTGCAGGTTCTGACGCAGTTGCAAGTTCTGACGCAATTGCAGGTTCTAATGCAGAGTTCTTATCCTTTTCCTTGAGAATGATTTTAGTGATTCCTTTCCTTTCCTTTAAACTCCGTAGTTTGCTCCAGGATCTTGTCATATGATGTGAACTCCTATTACCAAAGTAACTTGGATCAAAATTCTGATGCTTCATTCTCTCACACGTCATACTACATCGATACCCAAGTCCTGATTTATTTCCTGACACACTTGATGCAGTCTGACTTTCTTATCAGACTTTCTTACCCATCGATACTTATCAGACACATCGATACATATCAGACTTTCTTACCCATATTTGATTACGGAATCCATTCCAATAAAATTTTCCTTGCTGTTTGAGTCTTCTTACTCTTTCTCTGAAGCTGTAGCAATACGCTTTAATATGCCCATTCTTTCCACAAAAATAACAACCAAAACTCTTGGTTATATTACTCCTTTCGGACTTGTTTTGATCTGGTACATACACACCTTCAGTTACAAACTTGATTTGCCCTGTTTGAGATCCTCCTTGTCCACTATACCCCAAACCTCTCTTAAATTTTATTGCTTTAGTAGAAATAGCCAGCTTATCCTTCAACTCATTTTGCAATGACTCAACGAGGTCATCAAGACGATGCTTCTCTTTAATTAAGATCTGATTCTCCTGTCCAATCTTAATCAGTGCTTCACGCACCTCCTTGTAACATTCTGTGAAATCATCTATCTGTCCTACATCAGATTCAGATTCTGAAACTTCTTTTCCTTCAGCAAATTCTGTGATTCCCAAGAATGCTCCAAACTTATTCAGTTCTCTTCCATCATCACTGTCATCCTCCTCTGAACCATCTTCATGACCACATTCCATATGAGTATGTCTAATACGTTTTCTTGTCCTGCTTCTTTTAATACTCGACCAAGCTTTTGGACCAGCAAGCCAATTTCATCCTTTTCTTCTACTTCTTGAGTTTTTCTTTCAAGAGAGAAAATATCTGGTTTTTTCAAACCCTCCAGTTCCATCTCATGAGCTTTAAGCATACCAACCACTTCTCCAAAGCTAAGATTTTCGGTGTTATGAGACACATTCAAAGCAGTCTTGTATGCCATGAATCTTGTAGGAAGACACCTTAGAAATTTCTTTACTAATTTCTTGTTTTTCTACTTTTTCCCAAGAGTCAACGCTTCTTGTGCTAAAGAACATATCTTGGAGCTAAAATCAGAGATTGATTCATAATCTTCTATTTTTAGATTTTCAAATCTTGAATCTAACATGTCTTTCCTTAAATTTTTCACCTTAGTGGTTCCTTCAAAGTGAGCTTGCAAGATATTCCATGCTTCTTTTGCTGTTTCACTTCCCTGAATCAGTTCAAACTCCCTTCTTCCAACATAATTGTGAATTGCTGTGAGTGCCCTAGCGTTGTACTTTGATTTCTTCAATTCATCATTAGTCCAATCTTTTTCTGGTTTATCAAGTTCTACTCTTGATTCATCCATGATTTTTGGTTCTTCCCACTTTTCTGATATGGCTTTCCATGCATACGCATCAATGCCTCTTATAACCGCCCTCATCTTTGATTTCCAAAAACCGTAGTTTCCATCACCTAATATTACGTTTGAACCTAATTCTAGTCCATGATAGCTCTCCATCTTCTCCACATGATCTCGCCTATAGTAATCTTAACAAGCGCCGCTCTGATACCAATTGTAAGTGCAAGAGCCACACGGATTGATCTAGATCAGAACAATAAAACAAGGTTTCTCAAACTCTTCTTTGATAAATAGAAAATCTGTTTACAATGGGTTTTTCCCTAAACAATTTTCTAATCTCTCAAAACTCTCTTTCTAAGATATACACACAATCTTAGAAAACTCTCAAAGAAACCCTCTGCACTCTCTAAGCTCTTAACTATCTTTTCTCTCAAGTTAAAGCTTAATGCTAGATTCTCTTCTCTTGATGTGCTGAGTTTTTCTCAAGTCTCAGCTCCCTATTTATAGAACTAGGACATCTCAATACAACAGGAAATTCTCATTCTACTTCTAAATAGTTTTTAGGATAATTTCCTTTTTCTTTATGGATTAGGAAATTATCCAACTCTTCTTGTTTTACTTTTATCCCTATAAAAGTAAAGTGTTCATGCTTCTAGACACTTCTTCTTTGTCTTGTGTCCATGTAAAACCACCTTTCTTCACTTTCCTCATTTGTTGTTCTGTTTTTGCTAAGACGTCTGAACTAGTACACTCTGTTGTTTAGACTGCATCTTCAAAAAAGTCTTTAAACTGACCAATTCTTGGAGTCATCCATAGTTGCAAGAAAAGAGTCAAGTTCCTCTTGCTTTTCTTTTTTCGAAATTTTCTTCCTAGTGATGTCATAACCAAGAGAACATTAGCCCTGGGCACGAAGCGAATATTCGGAAAATTTGTGATATTTGTGATTCGTTTCGCTTCGACCGAGTAGTTGATTTTAGTATTTGCTTCGATTCGTAAATTTTTGAGTATTAAATACTTCGAATATTCGAGTATATTTCGTAATATTCGCGAACTATTCGCTTCAACCCATCTAATTTTTTTTTGAAACTAAAAACATGTAGTACATAAACATAAAGTGCAAAATATGAGATATTAAAGGTTCTTGTTTGACATGTTTTCAAAAAGGAAATGTAACCACCGTTGATATCATACCTCTGAAAAGAACATGCCATCAATCTAATCCAAAAACCCAAAACCCGATAGTTAAAATGCCATTAATCAAAACATAACATGAAAGAAATGATGAGACTAACATCTTAGCATATAAATAGTTCAATCATCAGTCAAAGGTTTATTTGTTAAAGAGCAACATTTAGCAAAAAGTCCAATGGGCCAAAATATAGTAATATGAATAATAAACCTTTTAGATATAAACTCAAATCTATAATACACATATTATATATATACGAAGCGAAGCGGATATTCGACACTAAAAAAATCAATATTTGTTATTTGCTTCGGTTTTTACGAATAATACATTTTTATATTTGCTTCGTTTCAACATCTTATAGATATTTGTATTTTTCTAATCGAATCGAAACGAATAACGAATCGAAGCGAATCTAACAAATATTTTTCCCAGGGCTAGGATCACCAGCTGGATGTATTTCTTGGAGCAACTTATACATCAGAGATAAATAAAGAGTTTGTATGGATTCCTAAAGTTGCATCATAAGGAATGTTTGTTACAAATTTATTTTCTGGATATTATATTGTTTCCTTTTTTAATGGGATCTTGAATTATTTGTTATTAAAATAATTTATTCTGCAGTCATTAATTCTGTTTGGTTATAGGTTTAGGATTACATAAAATGTAATTTTTCTTGGCTACACTTATAAAAAATGCTTCCCTTTTTTAAATATTACAAAGTATTTATTTTTTTATATTAGTTATGGTTAACACTAATTGAGACTAAATATTGTTAACAGCTTCTTTTATATAATTTAATTTATTTTAAAGGATTTCCTAAATGGTTAAATAAGAGATTGTATGGATTCCTAAAGTTGTATCATAAGGAATGTTTGTTACAAATTTATTTTCTGGATATTATATTGTTTCCTTTTTTAATGGGATCTTGAATTATTTGTTATTAAAATAATTTATTCTGCAGTCATTAATTCTACTTGATTATACTAAAGGAGAATATTTTTTATAAGTGTAGCCAAACAGAATTAAAAAGAAAAATTACATTTTATGTAATCCTAAATTATTTTAATAATATAGATAGAGATGATAAAAACACAATATATCATTACACAACAAAATTATCAATGGCGGAAGATCTAGTTCTCGACACGGCGATTAGAGATTGGGTTTTGATCTCTCTCTCTGTCGTGATGGTTCTCATTGGAATTCTCCGTTACTTCGTATCTAAGCTCATGCGATCTTCTCTGTTACTTCGTATTTAAGCTCATGCGATCTTCTCCGTTACTTCGTATCAAAGCTCATGCGATCTTCTCCGACTCCAGATGCGAAGATGGTCAAAGAAGGGTGACTCATCTTCTGCTCTCCTTATTTTTCACGTTTGTGTAGATTGTTGTGTCATAATTAGCTGAAAATTGGGTTTTGATATTGTTTGATTTTTCCAGACAAGTTGTTATAAGGGCAAGGAGTCTTAAGGCCGGTGCTAATTTTATCCCGCCTAACCGGGTTAGCCTCTTGGTTTAATCTTTATTTGGTACATTTAGTCGGTTTACGACTTAGTATTTGTAAGGCACTTAGCGGTTTTCGGAAAACCTAATGAAAAACATATCTTCTTCATCTTATCTTTTCCCCTCTCTATCTCTTCGTGCGCCGTCACTACTCCATCCTCCATTATCAAACCAACTCGCTTCTAAGATGGTTCTTCTCTTTCTCTAACCATCTTTAGCGTGAGGTTTACTCAAATCCTAGGTTCACGGTGGATCTTTGGTTTGAGATTATTAATCCATTTTTACTGTTTCATTGGTATCAGAGCCAGGTTCTACTTCAACAATGAGCTATGGTTTCTGTGATTTTCTCCCTTTTGTGTTTCTCAGTTTCAAGATTTCCTTCTACGCAATTACCAAGCTGTATGAGGTTGATTAGAGTTTCAAATTCTTTTTCTGGCTTCATGAGCTATTAGTTTATCAGCTGTTATCTGATTTGTTATTGATGAAAACTGATGTCTGTGCAATCTAGTTTAGTTCCTAGCTTTTTGACTTTTTATTTCCAAGGATTTTTATGACAATTTGAAAACATTCCAATGCACTAGAGGTTTTGGCTTTTAGGATTGGGTAAAACCTTAAGGAAAGTCTTTTCTAAGCAATGATTCTGTGAAATTGCGTAGACTCATATATATGTCTTGAATTATTGTTCTTTACTAGTTACCAAGAGTTGTTGTGTTCATTTGGCATGATGATAGCTTGATTTTTTTTTCTATTTTTCTTCTCGTTCTTGTGTTGTCTCTTTGTTTTCCTTAAGGCAATATTGCAATGTAAAAGATTTTTACCAGATGTTTCTCAGTAGAATAGTTTGTGTGCTGTTCAAATATGGTTACTTAGAAATATTGTTCTCTGCAGGAAAATGGATTGCTACATGGTTCCCAAGGACCAAGCTCAAAATCCTCAAGCCCAAATGTTTTCTAGATCCTAACATGGCCATGGATATGAGGAAGACAAATCTGTCAATGATTATACCACAGGTAAATGAATTTGCAGTTCATCTATTCTCATGTTATCCTCAGTATATTAAGAAACTGATGAATTTTACCAACTTTTAGACGCTCACTTTTGCATGGGTCAACTTCTTTTCTCTGGCTTTTGTTTACACCTTTTGTTTTATGGGATGTTCTTCCATGTTGCAGGTACTTTTTAAATTTGTTTGGATTAAGAGGCTTATTCAGTCTCATTCTTGAAGATGAAAATGGTTAGTGTTCATATACTAATTCATTCACAACATCCTCCTCAAAATTTCTTACTTTGAATCTGTTTTAGTCACTGTAAGTGTTCTGTTTCTTATGCAGCAGTTGATGACACTCAACGAATGTTGCAAATGGGTGGTTTTGGTTTCGATGCATCAAAGGTATGTATAATATTATCCTTGCATCATTTGGTCGTTCTTTTTTTTTTTTTCTCTCGTATCTGAGTGGTAACTTTGTTGGCTTTATTTATTTTTACACTTTTCTTGAATCGTCCTACATTTTTTATTCTGTACGAAGTTGATCCAAGCCTGATTTTGTATTGTTGCATATGGAAATTGTCCGCCGACCTGAGTGCAGAAAAGGATGGTCTCAACATAATTCAACATGAATGGGCTCTACCGCGATTCGAGCACCACGCAGAATCTGTTTTGCGAAAACTTGTGCGGTAAAGACTACTTTA